TATTGTGTGACGGATTACGTTCGGGTTTATTTAATGCCCCCTCCGCCTCCCCCTACACCTACCCCAACCCCAACCCCAGGCCCTCAGCCCCACCCCTGGCTTTGAACGATATATTATTATTTCAATTAACCAAGATAAAGGGAAAAGGTTTATCTGAGACTAATATAAATTTTGAGAGTTGATTAAATTGCAAATGCTGGGATTCCTGTGGTGTTTCTCATGCACTTACAACCCAATGACATGGACATGCATGATCGTTACTATTTGTCGATGAACTTACTGGGTTCTCCTCCCTCTCCACATAAGCCTCTATATCTGGCCTGGATGGTAATGCCAAGACTGCAAGCAGTAAGTTGTAAATCACAGACACTGGAGTATGAAATGCCATCAGATCCACACACCCGCTGAGAGGAGGCGACAGGTGGACATTTTGGCGGACAGACGCACCGTGGGTTGTTGTTGCTATCTGTCACACATATCTCTCCTTGGTACCTGCACTTGACAGTCCTACAAGGGTCTGAGAAAAAGAGGGAGAAAAAATATCATGCCGTCGAACACTGACAGTCGCGTTACGTTTCTTATTTTCAATCAACCCCAAAACAGTGTTCCTACAAAAAGTTGTATCAGCCTACATTTATCATTGCATGGTGACAAGAATAAAATAAAAGCATAAACATAAAAGCAAGGATTGATTTATTTGGATTATCTCCTATGTATTTTGTATACGTTGGCTTCAAAAAGGCACAATACAAAGTCTAATTTCACATGAGCCCGCGAACCTAATGACATAGAAGAACACTGCCTTACTATCCATTGTTTTCCCGATGCGTACGGTGCACATGAAAGTTCGACGTTTGACCAGAGTTTGAAATGTAGTATCAATTAGCAATCAGAGACAATCTAAAATAGCTGCACATTAAATGATGTTTTTCCTTACCATTTTCCTTAGGTACAGGAGCAGCACAGAAGTAGCCTTTACAGTCATATATACAACATTTATCTGTTCCTGGACATTCAATGTCACTCCTGCATCCTTGACCAGGATCATTACATCTAAGCAACGACCACCATGGACAACGACCAGGTTTTGTTGCTGATAGAGTTGAATAAGTAGGAGGTCCATAAAATACACCTAACAAAAAAACAGGGTAATACAATTATACTGAGATTGTAGAGTAGTTATAAATTATGCGTTCGGCTTTTGTAGTTTTTCTCTTATTCTCTCTATACGGTGATTGCTTTTTTTTTTTGTTGAACGAAATCATTGCATGTGATATTGTTTTCTCTTAGGCGTAACGAGAGTAACGTTTATTTTAAAAAGCTACAATTTTGTCTATTCTTAGCGTTTTATCTGAGTCAATATAACTTGTAGAGAGAGAAGAAGGAAGCACACCAAGAAGGGAAACCCAACACACACAGTTTTGTTCCAAGCCTATTCATCGTTTCCCGCCAAAAACATGAAAAACATGGAAACAATACCATCAAGAGAAAATGAGCTTTGATGCTATTTTTAGAATCATTGATGCTATTTTTAACTCGTTACCATGCCCGCGCGATAATTATGCTTCCCTTTAATGTCTCGTTTTTGAACATGAAAAGCGCCATATTTCGTTTCGTCCACGACAAAAACACAGACTTTGTTTATTGCAAGACTGGAAGCCGCCTACCCTCAAGAAATCAACCAATCAGGTTCTTCGCTCAAAATATCTCCCAAGCTAAAAATAGCATCAAACTGTGCACATGATGGTTACAAGGCTATATAGGTAGGATTCCTTCTCTTAGTTCATATTCTCTTGATACAATACATATATAACAGATTCATATTTTTAACCATTTATATCACTTACTTACATCARTAAATAAATAGATGAAGAAAACATAGATTTATATAGATTAGCTGTTAGAATAGTTTTTAGACTTATCAAATTCAGTTACCTTTGTACAATAAAGTCAGAAATAACAAAGAACAAATTGGAACATTTTCTATCCCATTTCCCGAGATTCTTTTGAAACACGGGCTGCGCTAATAAGGTAGCAAATGCTTCTCACTCGATAAAAGTCTACTTTTTGTGACAGCTTTTGTACCTACAATATATATTTGATTTAAGCGCATACACTGAAAGTTCTTGTTTTCAAGCCTAAAATTATAGACAAAACCTTATGGTTTTCTATGAAATTAGTAGGGTTTGGGTACGAGCTAGATTGCTATTTTGGGTGTGGCCTTCGCCTGGCATAACGAGGGGGAAGATAAACTGTTATTTTGTCTTGATTAAAACTATCGCTTCAATTGCAGTTCCAAGGAAGGAATGGCTGATCCTAAATAGATACTCTCTTCGCTGTTCGGCATGACGCTCTAAGACGATTAGTGTGTTAACTCTGAAGCGTCCGCCATTTTGGATTTAGGAAAGCTGACAATGAATATAACAGATTTTTTACCGTTACATCTGACATCCAAAGGCTATCACTGTTTTATATTTTTCATATCAAATGTCTTCTAGCACTTAACGATTCAAAATAGCCTTCAAAGAAAACAACTCTTTAACGCGGTAGGAATTCTTTTCCACATTGTTTTAAATGCATTTGCTGTTTTAAATTACCTTATTTGGTTAGCAACTATTAATACATATATCTAAGCTGCCAAATGGGTAAGTGTTTAGGGTACATGAACTCTTAGCCTTCAGGAAAATAATTTCTAAATATAGCATATTAAATGGTGTTCAGCTTTAACCCCGACCCTATATTAATATACCAGTCCTCGACAAAAGTGAAGGCAACATTATCATAAATAGACCTTAGCTTGTTCACGCGGGCTGATTTCTTAGATAACTAAGATGGCATCTTTTTCACGTAGTAAAAATAGCCTCTACCACCTGAAAGATCATCTCCAGATCAATATATAGAACATCTCCAGATCAATATATCTGGATGTTTTTAATAGTTTGGAATGAAAACTCAAAGATATCGAAGATGAGATCCCATGACTAAAGTATTGGATCGTATTGATGTAACAAAAAATATTAGCCCATCAGAATGGAGAAAATTTGCAAGACTGAGGTGTCACTTATTCTTTTGAAATTTTGGATTTACAGACCATAAATTAAAAAAGCTTTGAGTAATATTAGTAATATTCAATATTATTGTCGAGTATGTTTATATCAGTGTTTCAAATAAATAAAGAATTTTTGCAATGTTTTAATAATGTTTTTTTTTTCCAGAATATATATGTATTTTTCATATTTTATAATATCAAGATAGCGTCAAATTTTAGAATATTTTCGAGTCTTTAATGATATGTTTGTAAAGCGCTGTTGGACTACTGGAAGTAGCGCTATATATTAAATATTTATTTTTATTTTTATTATTATTTCAGATTAGCTGGATAAATCTCATCTCATCAGATTTTTTTTCCTTTTTTTTTTTTTTTTTTTTTTTTTTTTTTTTTTTTTTTTTGATTTTCATTCAAAACTATTAGAAATATCCAGATAGGCTGATTTGAACATGTCAGGTGATTTAGGCTTCTCTCGAGCGAATTCGCCAATCACTATTCAGCTACTTTCCGGAGTTTTCAGCTCGAAAAACAACAGCTTTTTCTTGAAAATAAAATTTATACTTGCAAAGATTCACTAAATATCTTTTATAAATGATATTTTTCGTTGTCGTTGAAGAAAGATATTTTCTTTTAACGAGAGATCAGAAAATACTAGGCAACTTTCGTTGAGGCAAACAATGATAGATTAGATTCTAAACCATTTGGTGATGTTTCGTGTGGTAGACGTCTTCGATCTGTTTGAATTCAAGAGCGTGTTATAATCATCGTGGGAAAAAAAGAAAGTTTGTTTTGGAATTAGGAAACACCTCTGGCACTATCTGGCAATCTCTCTTTACAACTGCGGGACTCCATGACAATTCAATAAGTTTATCTTTCGTCTATCTATCAAATGATCATCGAATCAAAATTTGTTAATTTGAAAAAGTCACTGCGCGTCCCAAAAATTAAATCATCAAGTTAAAACAACTCGGAGGGGAAGGGGGCTACTCCCATCTATCGAAGGGCGTTCATAACTGCCTTAGGTCACTCCCTCTTCAGTTTAAAGGGCAAAAAAGAAAAGGTGTTGGTTTTCGGCAAATGCAGTATCTTCGAACGACTAACGTCCGAAACGTCAATTTCACAAAGCTTTTTACAGTGATTCAATTTATCCACAAGTTCTAAAGTTTTGTTCAGAAACACCTACGCAGTCCACGCTACTTCTACTAGTTATCACCACTCGTTTATCTTTGAGGGACGCGATTGGGGGTTGATTGGGGGTTTATTTGTTGATAATCCCCGCCCTTTCTACAGAGCTGTATCCAGTTACCATTTGAGTCAGTACATGGATCAATTCCATATACAGAACTTATCTTACTAAGGATGTAGTTATCTTTACTTAAGCCAAAAAAAAAAAAGAAGAAGAAGAAAGAAAGAAAGAAAGAAAGGATTTCATATCAGTGCTCGACAATAGCGAGGTCAGACTTCAAGGCGTTAAACGTTGAGTTTCTACTGAATGTCCTGAATGTAGCCCGTTTGTATTTTACGCCACAGGTGAATATTTATAGCGTGAAGGGGCGGGCGGGCGTAAGATGGCATGTGCAGTTAGCCTGGGCTACGATCATGTTTCACGTGAGACGTACAATAAAATGCCTCTAGCCCTTTCTCTGATTTTCGTTTTCCTTCCTTCGTTTTCTTTCCCTCTTTTCTCTTTCTTTTTTTGTTTCCCCCTTATACTCTCTCTTACGATCTTCCTTTTCTTTGTCCCTTTCATAATTTCATTTTGTCCCTCTCGCTGCCGTTTCTCTTTTCTTTGTTTTCAATTTTAATCTTAGCCTTTTTTCCTTTTCGTCTTCTATCGCGGTATTTTGTATATTATTCTTTCAGCTCCCCTTTGCCCTCCAATTTCCTGTTTTGCGTAGGAGTGAAACATAACTTGGCTGTTTTACAGGAAATTAATCTTCGACTATTATCCTCTTTTGATTGATAAAAAAGTATGTTAAAGTAAAGCAGATGAATGTCCTTAGTAAGTTCTTAATCTAAATTTCTTACTAGCGATAACATTACAGTCTGGATGATTCGAAACTCCCTTTGCTTATTGATCTTCGATCGTTAGATAGTTTGTTGGGTTATCTTAACGCGGCCTAAGGGACAAAGCAATCGATTGTTAATTTCAAATGTAAATGTAAATTGTCACTATAAAAGACGATGAAAGCGAGCTTAGGAACATAGGGGCAACCAAGTGCTTCTCTAGTGCACCCTCTGGCGTTGATCAAGTGCTTATCTCATGAGCCTCTTACTCTTAAAGATCCCAGCACATTTAAAACACGTATTTCCTCTGATAAACACCGCACACACACACGGACAAAAGAACGTGCCTGGTTCTAATCATGTCTGGCCAGACCTGGGATTTAGTATCACCATGGTATCTCGTTGCATGTCGGACATTCCATGGCTTTGTAGCTTTAAAACAGCCATTCTTCTGCCATGCAACACATTTTGAAGATAATTGTTCTGCCAGATGTTGTTATAGACTGCTCTTTTTTCCAGTTTTTACTTGTAATTAATTGTAGTACTTAGAGATCTACTTATATAACTAATGAAGCATCTAGACTGATCGGAAGRGCGAAATTCTCAAACCCTAGATAGTAAAAGCCTCAAGTCAATAAAATGGGCGGCTTAAAGGGTGACATGCACTGCCATTGCTCTGTCTCTTACCGCTGTTTAGTTCGTGCATGGGATCGCGGTTCGATTCCCCGACTTATGCACATACTAATAATAGGTGTAAAAGTAGTAATGGGCGTAAAATATCATCTGATCGCAAGACTAARACAAACGCCGACAAGACACCTTAAGGGCAATGATAGTCACAACTGCTAAATCAAATTACTTATCTGAAGCATTCCTTGTGCATATTGACCAGTGATGAATTAATAATATATCTATAATCGAATATTTAATATCACATAGTAGACAAAACGACCTTTATGAATCCAAATCTCATCGCTCTGACAGCAGCATCAAACTTTTTAAGATTTTAGTAAATTAAAAGAAAAGAAAATGAACAATAAAATCTTAACTTATACATCTTTTAAGTCATAGAACAGTAGATGAACATTTGGAAATTTCCAATACAACATACATGCGTTTAAATAATTTTTTTTTCTCGTCGACTTTGCCAGATTTGCTAAATATTGAGATGCTTTCTGGAATGACAATGCTGCTTATTAGTTTAAAATTCAAAACTCTCCCCACTGTCTTGCTCGTTTTTATTTTTTATTTTTTACTCTATTCGACTTGAATAAGCCTTTTCATAGTTTAAGAATCGATTCCACTGCGCATGCGATTTTATCCCGAATTTCTCACCTTCTTTTGTTTAATTAAGAACAAAAGAAGGTTTAGACAAAAGAAGGTAGAAATTCGAGATAAAATCGCATGCGCATGTCCTTTTTCCAGTAGGGTTCGTCAGGTCTCTCCCTTAATTCGTGGATTTCTCTTGGTTCTCCGATTTTTCTCCTCTGGCAACACCAAACACGGTCTGTGAATTAGGCTAAGCGTTGCACTGAAAATGATCAGCCCGCAGAGGCTTTTTCGAGGCATTAATAAAATTCGAAAGGCCAGTCAAAAAATAAATAGAAGTAATAAACAAATAAATATTMATGAAATATTAAGAATAAAAATAAATTACATTTGAATTTCTTAAAAACAATTGAGTTTCAATAAACGAAATGGTTAAAACACTAGTTGCTACTTCAATGAAAAAAGAGGGTTATAGAGGTTTGGCACCATCACGTGACAAAAGCAATGTTAGATGGCAGGAACAATAATACAATCATTTTACATGAGAAACGATTCATTTGCCGAGGTTTTTCTTGTTATGCCATCTAACCACAGGCAGCCCAAATTGTTTTATGGGAGCTGGCACGTGATGGTGCAAAGCCTCTATTTAAAAAAAGTCGCGGGAAATACTAGGTACCGTGATACAATTCGTAATAAGACCCTCTTTTTCAGTGGACAGGAAAACTATATCAACACATTTTACTTAACAGTAGRATAGCCCTGATAACAGAAGAGGACGGATGAGCAAATTTAAATTTCTCCAATACCCCGAGGGATTAATGCCAAAAAAAAAAAAAACAACATTAGTTGCCAAAAAGTGTTGAGATAAGAGTTAAATAACAGTGGGTTTGGCTTAAGCCGGCTGAGTAGAGTTTGATCATATTTTAATCTTAGAAGAAAATTAATTCCTTGATGGTCTTCTTTCATTCTTTCATTATTCTTTCTTTTAGTTGCACTTCGTTCCGTTCCTTTCTGTTTCTTACCGTTTCATTTCTATATTTCCCCTTTATACTTCTGTGTTCTTATTTCTTTTTCGCTCTCACTTTGCTCTCTCTTTCCTTCTTTCTTTTAGTCTTTTCTTCGTTTTCCTCTTCTCTCCTTGCTTCATTGTTTTCCTCCGTTTCTTTCCGTGCCTTGCCTCTTCTTTCCTAAATCAGGTATCCTAAAGTTGCTTGCCGTGACACTTGATTCCCAACCAGCGGTTCGATAGAAATACGAAAGTCTCCATCTGTGTCTGTTTTTAAAAATTCGCTGAAGACACATTTGTTYAAGTTAGCTTTTAATTTATAATTTTACAATTAGTACAATTTTTATTGTTTTGTTTCACATATTTTGATACCTCAATTTTTATTTAGCTTAGTTAATTATGTATTATTTTTTATTAGTGAGCGCT